TGTGTGTGTGTGTGTGTGTGTGTGTGTGTGTGTGTGTGTGTGTGTGTGTGTGTGTGTGTGTGTGTGTGTGTGTGTGTGTGTGTGTGTGTGTGTGTGTGTGTGTGTGTGTGTGTGTGTGTGTGTGTGTGTGTGTGTGTGTGTGTGTGTGCGTGCGTGTGTGCGCTCTGTCTTCTCCATCCCCAGTGAGTCGTGGAGGATGGCTGCTTATACTGAGCCAGGATCCTCTGGAAGTTTCTTCCTGTTAAAAGGGAGTTTTCCTCTCCACTGTCACTGCATGCTTGCTTAGTAGGATTGCTGTAGAGACTCTGACACTATTCAGTGACTTGATGCAACCTGCTGGGTTCCTTATGTAGGAAACATTATTTCAGATTGGCTTAATGACCTGACCTGTACTGGAATGTTTATTATGTGAAGTGCCTTGAGATGACGCTTGTCGTGATTTGGCGCTTTAGAAATAAACTTGAATTGAATTTGCAAATTGCAGTGGTCTAGTCCTGTCCCATACCCTTTTACCCACATGGATTTGACCCGTCTAACGTCTTTGAGCTGTGCCCTTTTCATTCTAAAAGGAGACCACATAACCTCATGATCAGTTTCATTAGATGAGCAGTTCCCAAACTTTTTTTCATGAGGACCCCCAACCCCTCCTCCTACCCACATACACACATTAAAATTACAGACATAGCGTTACAGCTCTTATTCAGAGTTCCAAATATAATATTGGACGTTTCAGTGGGATTGCATTTTTTACTAATATAATCTACGTAACCTCACAACCACAGCATAGAAAAAATTGTGGGGAGCTTCTTGGGGGATCACGGGCCGCCAGGCGGGTAATCACCAACTTATCCAGTTTTTAATTTCTTGTATCATCCTCTTTCTCAACTACGGGGCCTGAAGTGAGTCAGATGGAGATATTATTTTAAGGTGGTAAAATCCGTTTTCTCAGTTTGGTGAACCATGGGCATGGATTCATAATCAGTTGCTGTGCCAAGGTAGTGGTCCCTGACAGAAAGTGTTTCCTCTGCTTCAGGAGCACACTCCGAGCAAAATTCACTAAGTTATGGGTGAAAAGTATAGTCCTCCACACAGGTAAAACAAAAACTGAACGATAAGAATAAAAAACAGTACAGCAAAATGATTTTAGCATTAAAATAACAACAAACTGTTTACAAAAAAAACTCCACACGTGTAATGGACCTATAGGGCTTGTTGGGAAGTGCAACGGCTGCTGTGAAGAAGGCTCCACGATCATGTAGACACCAGGGATGCAGCAGCATGTTTTATTGCAGTTTTACACGATTTACAGTCTTTTTTTACTTTGCAAGCCTCCAAGTGGTGGTGTCCTGACCCGTGACCCTAAGGGCCCGTGTGGAAACTTAGCACAAGACTGAGAAGACACTCATTACCAAGGGTCTACCGTCCAAAATTTGTTTATAAATAAATGAATAACTAGATAAAAAAATAAGTTATGAATTTCCATATGAAATTATAAATATAAGTTCTCTTCAATGTCACGATGTAGGTGTGGATGAGGCGGACCATGTGTGGCAGAGCTGACCAGGAGGTAAAAAATGCAGGCTTCAGTAAAAGTAAAATGGTTTTAATGGAGGACTGGGAACGCCAGGAACAAAACACAAGGACTACAAGCAACATTGATCTGACAAAGGACAGGAGCAAAACAGGTGGTATAAATGCAGAAGGCTAATTAGGGAAACATGGGCAGGTTAACGAGGGACAGGTGAGAACAATGCGGACTAATCAGGGCAGGAGAGAAACCCAGTCTGGAGGGCAGGGGCAGAACGTGACATTCATTGACATTGGCATGACCTTGATCAACAGGCCACACTGTCACACACATACATCTAGTGTGATTCTATAAGTTGTCAGATAAAAATTAATAAGTTATTTTAAACAAAAATCAATTACAAGAAAAACACACAGTTCAGCAATCCCATGAACCCTTAATTGCGCCTGAGGATGAGCCATTGTCGCTCCCAGTGGTTCACCAGAGAATGTCTATGCCTAGGTCGGCTTCATTCGTAGAGGAAGGTAGCGGAGGCTACTGCTGCAGGCAGCTGCTGCTGGCGTGCAGGCTCCACCATCAAAGACCCCGCCTGCAGTACACCTGCAGCAGATGTGGTCAGCCCAAGCGGCTGGACACTGGCCACACATTGCAGGCGTGTCCTACTGCGCTTCTGTTGGCGGAAAGTCTGTAGAGGAGTGGAGGGAGGAGATGAAGAATAACACTGGAGGGAGATTGGATGTGTCGAGGAGCTGAGGGACCAAGACAGAAAAACTGTCTTGACTTTTTTGGATTTTTCTTTTATTTCATCTGAGGCCTTGAGGATCAGGGTCCCTTTCTTGGCCTTTGTAAAAGTTGGATGTTCCATCTAAATAAAGGAGGAAACGACTGGATGAGGAGCTGCAGGAAAACCAGGTTTACAGCTCATACAAAACCTGAGCACCTGCTGATCAGTAACAGATTATCTTATTTTTCATTAATGTTATGATTAGTTTACATGACGTGCTGTCCTATCTAATGTGAAATAAACAACATAAGAAACAAACACTCATTTTCTACTAGCCAAAAGCTAATTAGCAAACCCAGCTATTGGCTGGATTTTCTATAAGTGAAGATAAAACTAATCAGAGCCCAAACATGCACGATCGTGATGATGAACAACATGGTTGAATAAACACTTACACATGGTTTTAATGCAATCAGGATGGTGTTCATTTAAAAAATTGCTTAAATACATGTAGATATTAGTTAACAGCAGCGTAATGCAGCAGCAAGCTAGCTAAAACAACGTTGACATTTCACGACATTATGGTAAAAAGTAAATCCTGTACCGTCTTAATCCCCCTAAACGAGCTGTAATGCTTTTAATTGTTTTAAATTTTTTTAATTACAAATAAAAAGTATAAAAGATAGTAACTTCTCATCTCACAGATCTCGGAGCGGAGCAACGGCGGATCGCTCGGATAGGCTGTGACAATCCCGCTCTCTGATTCGTCGGCAAAAATGTCAGTCTAGAAAAAAAAGAAGAAATACGGCCATTTGATTGGTCTACCTATAGCACAAATGGAATAACAAGAACTGCCCCTCACGTGAGAGGCACGGTGCGGACATTGGCGCGGCCGTTAGCTTTTCCTTCTGCAACGAGGAGCTGGCGCAGCAACACCAAACTGACGTTCTGTCTGCTCATTTGACTGTTTCAACAGGTTAGTATCATCTTATAAGAGCGATAAACAGGTGAAAACGGGAGAAAGCCGTGTGAAGACGTGTTAATCGTTTTTGGGGAAGTTTTGTTCTTAATGTGTGGTTAATGAGCTGTAGGCGCCACGATGGCGAAGTTGATATGGCGGCCGCGGCACATTAACTGCGTCATGTCGATTTGGATTTTATCCTGTGTGCTCCGTGTAAAACGAATGGCGTTGCTGAGAAAGAAGTGTTATTTTGTTCATGTAGGTGAAATAGTGAAAATAGGCAAGGTAGTTGATGAGAAGGAGTTGTTATTTAAACTGGTTTACGTTTATATTATTTTAAAACGCACGTGGAGTAGAAACATTTTATTAAGTTTGTTCCATGAGTGTTTTATTTTATGAACATTTAGTGATGAACCAGTATTGCAAGAACATGTCAAATGCAGTAAAATAAGTGTCTGACTATGAAAGGTAGAGAATGTGCTGCTTGACGGTTAAAAGTGTTAATATAAATTCTGCGACGAGGAGCTGACGCAGCAACATACTGATGTCCTGTCTGCTCATTTGACTGTTTTAACAGAATCACCTGTTGCATGGTCACATAGCCCCTTTCTAGACAGGCCATGAAGAACGGAAATGTTCCGGACGAAGCCCCTAGTAACAGGTCCAGACTTGTTACGGACAGAGTGGCTGCTTCAGACCGGTGAGTTAGAGTTCAGGACAGGGAGGAGGAGGATGAGGGGACCGGGGGATGCTGTGCGCACCTAGATAGCTCGCTGCTGTAAAATGCGGCGAACCACGGCAGCTCACCTCCTACGGTACCGTCTAGACGCGCGACGGAGCGCTTCACACCGCTTCAGTGATTCATTTAACCATTGAGCTTCATCATCCAGGTCTCTTATCCCAACAACCCCCCCCCCACCCCCCACCCCCCCCGCCGTCAGACATCTGGAACTTTCCCCTGCTGTGTGAACGCAGCCGAAAGGACAAGTTCCGGTACAAAAGTGGTGTGTCTGAAAACACAGTTCCGGTTAAAAAACGGATTGAATTGTCCACATTGTTCCAGAATGTCTATCTGAAAAGGGCTGGCACTGGTTTCATAGGCTGTGTCTCAATTCAGGGTCTGCATCCTTCGAAGGACCCAGCCCACCCGGCCGACGTGGGCTGCGTCCTCCGTCGGCCGGGTAGACCGGATGCTAACGGCTGTGAATTTGGACAGGCCTAGCCTTCATGAACTCCCTCGGCGAACGTTCCGTCGCCTAGCAACCGTGGAACCGCTGGGCAGAAGGGAGAAGGAACTTTAAACGATGGAGCTCGACGTTTTATTTAGCTTTTTAACCCCCAGAAACCCAAATTTAGAAAACAACTGCAACATCTTTTTTTTAACCTTTCACATGTTGTTCTAGGAGGCCAGATAAACGGGCCTATTTACACATTTTAACAGCCAATAGTGTTGCAGAACCGAACAATAAGACCTATTAGCAATGTAAATGTAGTTTTAAAAAGAAAAAAATGGGGAAGGTTTATTCTTGTAGACTTAAATCTGATGTTGTAATATTACAACCGTGGGTCTCTGGGGGTTAATCATTTCCTTGACTGTTGGAGAGCTAATTCAGAGAAAATACTTTTGACAAGCTGAGCCTGAGCAAAGATGTGATAATAGTTTTTAATACTTTCTAAGGGTCTTAATTTGACCAAAACCGATTTATCACCTTTTAAGACTTTTCAAGACCCAGCGGATACCCTGTAATATTAAACAATTCTCATTTGTAAACAAAAATAAAATTCAAGAGTTTAATGCAGAACTGATTTTATTTAGATATTTCTTTTATATGTACATGTTTAATCTTTATTAACCATTTTTTTCTAGCAAAGTAAAAAGCTGTCAAAGTTCTCCCTTCTCTCCTGGGCTCTCTGCTGCTCTGCCTCCATCTGCAGCCTCAAGTCCTCCCTGATCAGCTCCAGAAGCTGGTCATCGCTATCACCTTCCCCTGGATGCCCATTTTCTCCAGAATAGTCTTAACAAACATGTAAGAAAAGAAACAGGAAGAGAAAAGAGGACAACGGGTTATTCCTTTCATGTTTTCGCAGAAAAAATAAACTCAAACGAGTTTTTAAAATATGAGATGTTATTGTACCTCCATGCCACAGCCTCCGAATACTTTGCTCCGGTGATCATGTGGTCCATCTCCGCCCTAAGCTTAATAAATTACCTGGTTTTCTCTTTTGTTCCTAAAGTACAAACTCCTATTAAAATCAGTGGGAAACGTAGCGGGAGAAGTACGACACCGAGCGGCCGAACATACGAGCCGAGACCGCAATACAAGCACTTTTACTGTAACATTTCTAACTAAAATAACGTTCATGTATCACAAAAGTCCTTAACCTAACAGTTTTCAAGTTTATACTGCCATTTATATGCGCAATCCTCTCCGACAGCTCCCGCTTCGCTGTCCGCCATTGTTTTTAAGTTTTTCTGCCGGCCGGCCCGCAATGCATCTTGGGAAATGCTACCTATTGAAGGATACACCCGACCCATCCTTCATTCAGGCGAAAAGAAGGCCGCATTCGTCGACCGCATTTGAAGGAGTCTTCGAAGTGGGACAGGCCGAGTCGCGGCGCTGTGACGTAACCGGCCGACGAATCCGGCCGACGTAGGATGCAGACCCTGAATTGAGACACAGCCATAGACAGCGTTCGTGTGGCTTTTGTAGGATTTATACATTTTAGCAGTCTGATCGCGACCTCTGGTGGTTTGTCAACGCAATTACAGTTTTTCGTGTGGCTTTTGTAGGATTTATAAATTGTAGCGGTCTGACCGCGACCTCTGGTGGTTAGTCAACGCAATTACAGTTTTTGAAGTTTGTTTTCTTTTTTTCCACCTACGACAATCCACTCGAATACGCCTTTACTCATCGGGTAATTAAAAGAGGGCAAGCATCTGTTATGCGTTTTATTCAACCATTATAGTAAAAACAAGCAGGCTTGTTGATAATCGACCAGACAGATCGTGTGTGTACTGTTTTAAGAGTGCTGAGAAGTTGGTCAGCAGGACTAAAACCAACGAATACCATAAATATTCAGTGTAACACAACGAGTTAGGTGTTATTGTTATCAAGTGTGCAGTGCTAGAGCCACGGTGTTTTCATAGCGTAACTGAGATGAGTTAAACACACTTATCCTCAACATTTTAGTCGGCACTTCCTGCTTGGTCCGCCCACTTCTCCCATAATGCAGCTGGGTCCTTTGATCGGCACCATAAGTTACTACACAGCCCGAAAATTGAGCTCTTGAATGCGGCTCAGGAATCGCTCTTTCGTCGTGTTAGCTCGCTAACACATATACTAAAATTGGAACGATACAGAGAAGATTAGCATGGCCCCTGCGCAAGGATGACACGCAAATTCGTGAAGCGTTCCTCATTTTTCTTTTTAAATAACATAATAACCCTAAATGACACTGTTATGAAGCAGTTAGGAGCGTGTCCCCCTGCTCAGATCCAATATTTGACCCATCAAAATGGTTCCAATTTTGAGAAGCACGGGTTTTCAGCATCTAATCAGAGAGCTGGATTGTTTCAACCCTGAAATAGATCCTCTTTCACTCCGAGCTGGCGTTCCTCCGCTACTGAACTGACTGAACTGACTGAAACGTACAATTGTTACTTAAAAACAACAATTAGACTTTTAACATGTTGAAAAACAGTTTGTTGTCTTACGAGCGATGTTTCAGATATGGTAGTATTTTCTTCTGAACTGAGGAGGAGGAGAGTAGTGTGAAATGATCTTTCACCATGTCCCCAGTTGGCACAAAGTTCTCTATTTTCTGTATTCTGAGTGTAAAAGCATGTTTTTTAACTGGTATTTCCCTGTTTATGTTCTTTGTTTAATGTGAGATTATACTGATCTGCTCGTTGGGAAAATTATTCCACAATTGTTCATCTGATGCCTGTACAGTGCTCTCACCATTCCTTTTCACTCTGCAGACTTCCAGAACAAGTCGGAGACCTGTCATCTGCAGAAAGACTCAAGACGACTCTGCAGTCGGGATGGTCAAGAGTACAGAGAGCTGGCGGACCACTTTGTGGCGTGGTGCGGGGACACTCACATAATCTTGAATGTGAACAAAACAAATGAGATGATTTAGAAAGAAACGGGAATAGCTCAACATGCATTATTGGGGAGTAGGGGGAGGTGGCGGAAGATTACAAATACCTCGGTGTTCATCTGGACAACAGACTGGACTGGAGACACAAGCGTGAAGCCTACAAGAAGGGACAGAGTAGACTGTATATCTTGAATAATAATTTAGATCCTTCAAGGTCTGCAGCAAGAGGCTGCAGATCTTTTACAGGTCTCTTGAGATCTCTTGGGCCACCAGCTGTTGGGGCAGCAGCATCAGAGCCAGCAGGGACCTAAAAAGGCTCAACAACCTGGCAAAAAAGGCTGGTTCTGTTCTGGAGACGACTGAGAACCACTGGAGATGATGGTGCAAAGAAGGACTTTTCATAAAATCAACATTATAGACAACACTGAGCATCCTCTTCATGCAACAAGCATCTTCTTCAGAGCTGCTGTAACACAGGAGATCCTTCCTGCCCACAGCCTTCAGCATCTAACCACTCAGATTTCCAACTGAGCTCATTATTATTACTAGTATTTATTTTAATAACTGCTTTGAAGAATTAGTTAAGACAACACTTAACTTCCTTCTGGGATTAATAAAGTATTTTTGGACTTTAGACAGAGAACTTTAGTTCTGTGGAGTCGATAAAGAAACCCAATAATGAACCGGTGACACTGCTGAACTCAAACATGTTTGTGATGTTCTCTTAACGTGTAATAAATGTGGCTTGTATGAAATCCACTCCACCGCCTGCTGCTCAGCAGCAGAGATTCTCCTCACACGTGTGACAAGAGGTTTTCGCACCACGTTTGCTGGCTGTTAACCTGTGAACCACACCTGGTTTGTTGTTGGGATTTTTGTCCTGTCACTATTTCTAACCTTCGTCCTCAGTGGTTTATTAATTTCCTCACCCAAGCTCCTGTTTTCCTGTAAACTCCTCCAAAGATGTGCTATCTACACCTGAAAAGGACGGGAGATTGGATGCGTCGAGGAGCTGAGGGACCAAGCTCTTTTCTTCTGTAAATAAATGATCTGACAAGAATACTAACAATCTAAATGTGTTAAACAACCTGCTGTACACATGGACATGTAAAGAAAAGAACTTCACAATAAAAGCTCACTGCAAGAATTTAAACACTTTTATTTGAAGTCATGAGCTCCAAAGATAATTAAGAGACTGTCTATGCCTAGGTCGGCTTCATTCATAGAGGAAGGTAGTGGAGGCTACTGCTGCAGCTGCTGCTGGCGTGCAGGCTCCACCGTCAAAGACAGCCTGCCTGCAGTACACCTGCAGCAGATGTGGTCAGCCCAAGCGGCTGGACACAGGCCACATATTGCAGGCATGCCCTACTGCGCTTCTGTTGGTGGAAAGTCTAGAGGAGTGGAGGGAGGAGATGAAGAGATTTTATATATATATATATATATACACACATATAAACGAAAACAAATTAAATCTGAATTTTTTTATGATCCTGGACACATACATTTATAACATGTGTTTTATAACATCACAAATATATTTCAACACAGATGCATTTATTCATATACATTCTATAATTTTACATGTCTATTATCACAAATATATTTCACAGCTCAGTGGTTCTTCATCACAATTATAATTAAATCTAAAGTGGTAATTGTGAAAAAATATTTACATAATAATTAGTGTTATCAGATTTCGCATACATTTCAACTTTTGTATTCGCTCTGTCCGGGAATCGAACCCACGCACTTCGACTCCCGGACAAAACAGTAAAAAAAAAAAAAAAAAAAAACACCGAGAAGAATGAGAGGAGCAGTTTGTTGTTCCATTTCTTGAGACTGACATTTTTGCCGACGAATCAGAGAGCTGGATTGTCACGGCCTGTCCGAGCGGTCCGCCATTGCTCCGCTCCGAGATCTGAGAGGAGAAGTAACTATCTTTTATAATTTTTATTTGTAATAAAAAAACTTAAAACAATTAAAAGCATTACAGCTCGTTTAGGGGGATTAAGACGGTACAGGATTTAGTTTTTACCGTAATGTCGTGAAATGTCAACATTGTTTTAGCTAGCGTGTTAAACAAACACTGTCACTGGGCGGCGTTCTCTGTCTGCGGTGGAAATGCAGGCAAAACTAAAAAAGATGGCGGCCGCTGAGCCTGCATTTCCATGTAAGTCTGTTTAATGATCTCGTTTGTATTCTTTTATTCAAGGTCAGCACATTGAGTGTTTCACACTCACGCTTTCTGGAGCAGAAGCGATGTTTGATGGTTTGATTTCCAGCCTCCTTCAGACCAGCTCGTCCACCCACAGCATCTGGGCAGCCCAGTGATGGAGAGCTGGTCCAGGCGGTAGCTGACCAAGGGCAACGTAAGTGACAGAAATGTGCTCATTTCATATGTTGTTGGTGACAGTCAGATGTGAACAGATGTCGACTCGTTTCTCATTTCTTTCTACTTCAAGACGGCTGCCTTATTTCCGGTATAAACTTGCATCGTTGCTGACTGACTTATTTAGTTGTTTATTTAATTTTTCATAGCAATGATACGTTATTTTGTTGTGAATTACTTTAATGGATCACCAGGTCACCTGAAGTTCTACACAATGTCTTTCTGAAAAATTTAAAACAATCAGACACCCAAATAAATTTCTGTAAAAGACAATTTATAGAGCAGTGAATGTGTTCAGGGTTCCGATCTTGACTGTGGTGCAGGTAAAACATGGTGTGCAACACTCCAGTGACTAACCTCTCTGTCGCAGGAGTGGGAACAGCTCATTGTTCGGCTGGACATCTGGCATCTGATGCGCCGCTTCGCTTCAGGTGTCACCACAGAGAGCCACGAGCTGTATCCCACCTTCATGAGGCAGCTGTCTTACTGCATCTTCGAGATGGACGCCGAAGATGCTCGCCGTCTCGTGGGAGCAAAGCGGTCCGAGCTGGAGAGGACGCACGGGATGGTCAACCTGACGGACGCTGATGTGATCCAGCGGATCAGCAAGGAGGAGTGGAGGCTCCACTGCCGCAGGAGGACGCGTGGAGCCGAGGAGTCGACGCTCCTCATCCAAAACCTCCCGGACGCCTTCCATTGTGTTGTGGTGGAGGTGAGTCCAGACATCCACATCTGCGGCTTGTGCAAACAACAATACAACAACTTTGAGGTTTTTCTTGCCCACAAACAAAACGGTTGTTTCTTTCCCAACCCGAACACTGCCACGAGCGCCGTGACAACAGCTTTCACAGGTTACACAGCTCCTGTTTTTCTTTCTGTCCCACTCATTTTAGTTCACTCGTCCTGAGTTACGTTTTTCTTCTTCCAGACTCTAGCCCGGGGTTCGTTGTGGGCGAGGACACCTACCAGACCTGCGTTGTGAGAAGTGTGAAGAAGACTTTGACCAAATCTCAGAAAACACCTTGTAAAAAGTTGAAACCAGCCGTGGCTTCTAAAAGACACTCGTGTTGTTTTTCAGGTCGGTTTCTGACTGCTTTACTTCATCAGATCCGGTCTGCTCCCTCTCACCTTTCACTGCTGTTTCTCCTCACCTGCAGGTTGTACCTTCAAGACACAATATGGACAAAAAGACATGGATCGCCACCTTAAAACTCACACCGGTGAGATGATGTCAGACACTGCAGGAAGTATGGAAGGCCAAAGTTCAGAACTTGCTCCACTTCAATTGAATTTTGAATAACTGCTTGAAACTTCAACTAGAATTGGTTGCAACACAATAAAATCAAGATCTACGAGGAGGAATAGTTGACATGATCACCATTCATAGATGCTGGAAAATCTTACTCACCTTGAAAGTGCTTGAATTTGATTTTGGAGAAGCGCAAGAGCGGATCTGATACGTACAGCTCTGATTGGTGACAAGAGGAGCTGCTGGTCTTTTGACAGCACCACCTTACCTAACGCTCCCTGGAACGTGTGGTTTTAACATCTCTGCCCGTGTGTGATCGTCTCTCCCTTGTGGAACCGATGGAGAAGTATAAATTAGGCTTCAGGGTATGGAGCTGGTCCAGCGTTCCATGGCCAGGATGAAACCAAACCTCCTCCTGAATCCGAGGTTCGACTGTCCGATTGACCCTCCTCTCCCGAACCCCAGAATCTAAACTTCATTCTAAAAGTGATTCCATTTCCAAGGAAGGTTTAAGATTGAGGAGAAAAAAATGCCAAATTCAGAGTTTTTTTTTTAAACTGTAGTAATTTAGAGAGAGCTCTAGGGGATTTATGTACATACGTACATTAGTACTCTGGTCAGATCAAATGGCTACGGCTGCATTTCTGAAGAACAGGGTGAAGGTGACTGGATGACCCAGTCCAACACCTGTGGGGAATTCTGAAGCAGCAAGTTGAGCATCCCTCTCCATCCATTATCCAGGCTCTAAGAGAGGTTCTTCTTGCAGAGTGGAAACAGATTGTCTCCATCTTGTTTATTCTGTCTTATTTATGCTGTCCTTGAATATCACGTTGGTCATCCCAGTACTAGATTTAGTAGTTTTTGTTGGGGGCTGTATTCTTTTTTGCTTCAACAAATTTGAGTCAAACTGAAGATTTTGTATTATTAACCTTAATTTCGTGTAATGGAGCTAAACACGTGTTTGATAAAAGCCAGCCGTGTTAGCATTCTGGAAATTGTTCTTTTGTTATTTGAGCTGCTGATGACACTCGTACTTTTTAAAAGGGTGTACTCATTCACGTTGAGCACTGTATAAACACTCGAAACATGAAAAAATATGTATCTTATTTCTGTCTGTGTTTGGTTTGTGAGTCTGTACGACTAAATCGAGCCATTTCAAAAATCCTCTTGTGATGTCACAAATGGGGAAATTAGCGTAGAACCCCATGACGACCACCATCATGCTGGAGGTGCAGTAGCTCTGCTTCCTGGCTTTTGGAGCTTCTCAGCTCATAGCAGCCAATCAGGGGAGGTGTGGGTGTGACTAACTATAGTACGGAAGTTGGTCCTTTCAAGTTTATTTCATTGCTGATTTTAATTCTAGGTCATTTTGGACATTTCCTATAAATCAGATGTTTTTACTGACTTGATAATGAAGCAAATAATGCAAGTTCACCAAAGTAAGAGGTCCTTTTGAGTAGATTACAAATGTTTTATTTTCATTTTTGCAGGACTTTTTATGAGTTTTTCTCTTTTTATTATAATAAATCTTATTTTACAATCAGACTAAAGACAGCAGAGCCGGCAGCAGAATCCCAAACCCTCAGACAGAAGAACGAATCGTGACTTCATGCATTTGGAAGTCTCTCCAGGAGTTTCGAACCAACCAGAAACCAACACAAGGATGGAATCAAAGCATTGCAAAAGGCTCAGTGAAAGTTGTCAATAAATAAATGTATTATTACGAACAAAAGATCGAACTTTAAATTAAATTAGTGACGACGCCCGTTGCCTTCAGCACATCTAATTGTGTACATTCATCATTACATTTCCCTACACTTTGTGCAGGTAATCTATTACTTTGAATCAAGTCAGATTACTTAATTTTACACCTTTGGAAGTATTTTCCCCACAATCACAACCCTGTGGGCAGAACAGCAGATTTCGTCTACTAGAAAAACCTGAAACTACAAATTTAGGAGGTAATCTTTTAACACCAGGATGTTTGTGCCTCCCAGCAGCTCTACTCCTCCCTCCTGCAGAGGATCAGGACGTGACATTTACAAAGCACACAGGGACGGCGGGTTGTACCTTGTGGGCGGTGCTAAAATCTCATATACATACATCTGATAAAATACATTTAGAGGAGATTCTTCATCTCGAATTTCTGTAGCAAACAGTCCGACGACAAACAGGAAGTGGACCGCGCGCGCTCTGGCGGTTTGGTGGATGGGTCTAGTATCTGAGTGAAACCGCCCCTCTCCTCCAGACCCCCCAGGCTTGTCCCTGAAGCCGATAAGAGATCGGGACGGGGACTTCAGAACTCCTCGTGCACGTTTCTGGCGTAATCCATGAGCTTGCTGCCCGTGAAGTATTCGCTGTATCTGAGAATCTCCTCCAGCTCCAGTCGATGGTTCTGGTTCTCGTCGGCCACGGCGATCATCTGCTTAGCCTCGTTCAGAGCGTTGTGCTCATTCATCGGGTCCATGTACTCCTGTGAGATGGATCAAAAGAGGAGGAACCGATTCAGTCTCACATTCACACAAAGTGCTGAGCAGCACAAAGATAAACCTCTGCTCATGGGCACTAGGGCAGTCAGTCTTACTTGGGTGGACCCGTGAGTGAAACTAATCATTTTGTTCAGATTAAAGCTCATTTTAAAAAAAGGCTTCCTGCAGGGATGTCCCGATACAACTTTTCCACTTCCGATACGGGACCGATATGGCAGCCGATACCGATATCAACCTGATACAACATCAGCACAAATCAGACATACTTTAACCGGTTTCGTAGTGCGGAATGTATGAAAGACTTGATAAAGTGATATTACTCAATCGGAGAACAAGAGCCAATAACCGTGTTACTGCTTATATCGAAGATTCATGATGCCGTCCGATATGATCTGTTACAGTGTTTTTGGGCCGATATCAAAGTACTTCCGATATCGATATTGGAACAGGACATCTCTAGCTTCCTGTGAAAATGTAATAAGCAGTTAGCTCTTTGAACAACCTCAGTTTGGAGAAACAAAGAGCGGATCTGCTGGGACAGATTAGCCAACAGCTAAAAAAAACCAAAAAAAAAACCACAATAACTAGAGCTTGTTAAACTAATATTTGCACAACATTTAGGCAGTAAAGGTTAATAACAGATGCTCTCATGCCACACCTTCAATATCTCACGCTGAAGACCTCTCTCTCATCTCTCACGATTAGCTTACGGAGACAGAATGGTCCGTGGGCACCCCCCCTCGCTTTAACAGTAAGCTCACTCTGGATGTTAGCTCAACCAGCAGGTCAGAAATAATCCCCTGACAGAGGTCAGTCACAGAAAGTCCGTTACCTCCAGTTCCTGCATGGTTACGATGCCATCGTGGTTTGAGTCGATGACCTCCTCAAACTCCTTCTTCCTCTCTTTGACCCAGTCATCGTCAATGTCCTGACCCTGCTGGTTCTCCACGGTGCCCACGGGTAACGAGATGAACTCTGACAGGCTCAGCTTCAAGTCATTGTCTTGGTCTGCAACAGGAGAACAGTGACGCTGAGTGGTTCTGCTCAGCAGGGCCGGACAAAGAAGCGACGCTCGGGGGTTTGAGCTGAGACAGCTCGTGGAGCCACATTTTTAACTGTCAGATGTTTCACTGATAAACACACCTGTCGGTCACAATCCAGCCCCACCCTAAAGCATAGCTGTGTTATCTTCTGCATCACTGAACAGAATCAGAGAAAACACACCTCTGTCCTGGAATTATTCAGAACCACCCACCATATTTGTTTTTGTATGCATTCTGAACTGTATTTATTCTTTATGTTGCGTAAAGGTTGTTTTATCATTTATTATTTTTATGGTTTTAAACCTATTTTAATACAAATCACCTTTTTCCAGGGTTAGCTGATTTTTTGGTTGTTTGGAGGTAAAGTTTGATTAAATCTGAAATCGGTTCTTCATGTCTAATGAGTGACAGCTGAAAGCAGCGATGATCAGTTTTACACACACACACACACACACACACACGCACGCACACACACACACACACACTGAATACGGAGGAAAATGAAGCATACCCAGGTCTCTCACTATTTCCTTCACCATGTACTTCAGCATGCCTTTGCTGTGCTCAGGATGGAGGAAGGACAAGAACTCCTCCTCATCCAGCTGCTGGTCAGGTGGAGGGTCATCTGCCTGGAACCAGCGGTCCCTCAGGCTGTCCAGCACCTCCTGAGCTGCAGAGATGAAACCAGAAAAGGACTTAGAATGATTCAAACCATTTCTAGGACACAAGCTAAAGTTGTAAAAATAAATAAATAACAACAACTCACTCTCCTCGTCTAGCTTCAGATCTTCATTCCTCTTCATTTTCTCAGAAACTTCTTTTTCGTCAAAACCTTTGCTGGCTAGAAATTTGATTCTGTATTCGTTCCACGTCACAAAACCTTCAAGCAGAGGTGGTGTTAGATATTTGTGTGACCACAAGTGAAATGTTCATTAGGGACTCACCGTCCCCGTCTGGGTCAACAGCACGGAAACTGTTCTTGTTCTCCATCATGGCCTCCTCAAAGTGCTCTTTTGTCTTCTCCATAATCCACTGCTGCATTTCTTTGGCACTCACGCTTCTGTCCTTGTTCACATCGACTCTGAAACGCAAGGAAATTATACTCAAGTTTTATTTTTAACGTGAAAACAGTTCAGATTTGGTGAGATGTGCTTCAAACCCACAGCTTCGTTAAAAGAGCCAATGGTCATCCTTTACACAAGGCCATTAAAGTTCTGGTTATGTCATAGAGTTGAAACTGTAATTATATGCGCTCCAGACTACGAGATAAACGAGTCTTACTTGGAGAAAATTTCTATCAGTTTCTTCCTGTTCCTCCTCGGCTCTGAGTCTTCATCAAACTCCTCCATGTCCTTCCCCAGAAACACCTCCTGATGGAAGTCCTTGTTGAGGTGGCCGTCCCTCTCCATCTTCAGCCCGTTCAGGTGATCAGGAGGAAGGATCTCGTTCTCGTCCTTAGTAGAGGGGGGCTTGTCTTTGGAGGAAGACATGTTGGCCGGTCGTGCGTCCACGTCCACGACGTAGAGCAGCACGCACGCAAACAGACACGCTGGTAGGAGGTTTCTGCACCACGGACTTCTCCAAAACGCCATGACTTCCTGACAGTAGACATGGAAAACCAAACTAGGTCAGGAACCTCGATGCTGCGTTCAGGTACAATGGGAGTGTACATCTCACTGGCAAATCCGGTTTATGACCTTACTTTGTTCAGAATAATCTGAAATGTTTTATACACACTCCTATTTCACAACAACACACAAACAAACCCAAATGAGTGGTGTTAAGCAAATTTTCCTGAACACGTCGTTAGAGATCCAGCTACTTCACGTGCTGTTAGCTTCTTTTGCTAGCGTTAAATAATGAACAGAAATCGAACGCGACTAAAACTACTTTAAAGATGAGTTCAAATGCGGAAGAGAAGCCTGTAAAGATCAGTGAATTAGCAGTAACTTCGTCACACACTGACCTGCAGTCAGGAAGCTGTCACACCCCAGCTCCAACTAGCACACTCACAGTGAAACACACACACTCCTAAAACCTGATACGACTCCGTCTGTAACGGTGACCGACTCACACACACACACACACACACACACCGAAACAAAACACAAGCTGTTATTTCAAGTAGTCTCTGTTGAACTGGTAGCTAGCTAGTAGCCACTGTGCTGTTTTGACAAACTGTCCTGGTCAGGATTCACTAACTGTAACTTCCGCTTAGCTCTTTCAAAATAAAACCCGGACTGAACAAAGAACACGTCACCAAAAAAAAAAAAAAAAAAACATAAAATATAAAAAAAAATAGAAGAAGAAGAAATCAACAAATGTAAACTTTTGAGGAAAGAAAAAAGTTACATGTGTCTCGTTTCATTTATTACATCATGTAAAGCGATACTCCAGATTATCTGACTTTCTGAGGAAATGTTATGAATAATTCATTTCTTATCTACTGAAAGATCATTGACCTAAGTTGGTGAAACATAGCTCTGACCAAAATGTCTTAGCGAGGACAAATAAAGCGTGGAATAGCTTGCCTTCTTTAAAAAAAAATAAAGTAAAAAAAAAAAACCTCCAAAAAACCCCACATGTCACAACATTTTATTCTCCTGCTGTCACTTTAGTCATTTACAGCAACATTTTCAGCCAGGATTTCATGTTTCTGCAAGAATAATGCTGTAATTTGGAACTGATGGCTGCCTAAAGGTCTAAAATAGTATTAAAAGACCTTCACATACACTGCTATGATTATTTTTCCAGATTAGTTGGTTTTAGATGACAGAAGTCCACATTGTAACTGACCCCAGTAGGAATAACTCATCTGTCTGGTTAGAATTCAGATTTACTTCTTCAAACCCAGACCGTTTTAAGAGCTTCCAACAACAGATGTAGCGATGGGTATACTTGTAGATGTGACAGCCCATTATAACAAGAAACACAAAGACCCTGTGAGCCTAACAAACACAAAATAACACTCGGCAGAACAGCACTTTAATGCCATTTAGGCATTCTGCATGTAAAACAATGATTTTATTCACTACTGCTTAAGTGGCTAGCATCATATAGTGACTAAACAAATTCAACCTGCTTTATCTTGTAATATAAATATCTAGAGGGTAACATTTGATCAACCGCGATATTGTTTTGAAGATTGTGCAGACGATAATTTCCCCCACTCCTCCCACATATGATGACCCATCACTTGCATCACTTTCCTCGTGTTTTAGCTTTTCAATGACCTAAATCAGACAATGGCACCAAGGCAGCCATAGACCGCCAGATCATTATTTCATCTCATTTATCAATTCCATGCATTCAGTTACAAGACGAGTTAATTACAAGTGCATCCAACATTAGAAGAAAGATTTACTTGTATAGTGCACTTCAAGATAACAATCACAAGAACGATAAAAAGGGACATTAACATATATAGTAATGCACTTATAAGAAGTGCAAAAGAGCAGGATGATGAAAGATTCTATTACAACCATCTTTCTCTATCACAAGATGGCTTACTATTCTAATGCTTGTCACTTGAGACAGAACAACAGTTTGTTGTGATAGTATTCTTGAACAAACTGGTTTTGGGGTTAGGATTTATTTGTAATATATTAAGTAGCTCTGTTTGTAACCACATCCTGCAAAACAAACACGTCACATTTGAACAAGATCTTCTGTTTGGTAAACACCTCATTTACAAAACCAAAACAATAAATAAATAAAACATTTCTAGATAAACTAGTACCTGAGTAATTATTATATATAGTTATGTTTGTATGATTTATATATTCAGCTGTAGCCCTTGACTAGGGATAGTTGCATGATGTAATTGCATTGCTAGATGGATAACAAACTAACTTGTGGATTGTGAATTAATTTCTAGAATTATGGGATCTTAAAAAACACTAGTGTATGAATAACTTCTTCTCAAATTAAAATGAAAACATCAGTTGAAAACCAGATATAATAGAAATCAGAAATGATAATAGGACGGAAAAAAATACAAATAAGACCTTGAATGAGTTGCTGAAGAAACTAACACATTTCGAGGTTGTGTTTTATATTTGGTGAAGCCTCACATATTTGTATTTAAATTAAATATAAAAATGAAATAGCTGCATTTTTAACTTTATTTTGAAGGTAAAATAACCACACTTCCGGTAGTAGTTTTGATTCCGTTGATTTTCTGCGACGACTTCCTGTTACGTTTTTTCCAGCTGGTGCCATCGAGGACAGGAAGTGTGGTGTCACCCGGAAAAAGCAGTGAAGGAAAGGTCTGTTCTGGCTGCTGCCTCTGGATGGCACTGTGTTAAAACCAAACATCTACTGATGCTCTCAATATGTATGAACGTCATTATGATCAATTTAAATCAGCATTATTGAACAGGATATTCTGTTTGGCAGACACCTCAGTGTACAGTCATTTTTATTATAAAATATTGAATTGGTAAAATGCTTGTTGCATCAGTGGCTCCCAAAGTTAGGGTCAGGACCCCACTGTGGGTCACCAAGAGCCACACAGAGGGCCTAGAGATGATTTCCAGAAATCTAAATAAAATTGAAAAAATAAAAATAAAACCTGCTGAAGCTGTATGTGTTGCAAACAACTAAATAGTCATAAAGGGATTTAAGTGACTCTGAGCTGAAGCATTTTCCCTCACAAACTGAATAATGCAGCTTATTAAGATTATTGGCCAGAGGCAAAACTCCTTTGAATGGACGTTACACATGTGTACAGCAGTATTAAAACGTCAGCTGAAGAAAGTTTTGGGATTTTCACGGCTGGAAAATCCAGTGTGTTTAACAAGTGCTACGCCGGTAACTCCCCACAAACACTAGTGTAAACAGTAGCAGAGCTACGTTGCTTCTGCGTTAGCATTATAGCAGACCACAGTGTATGATCAGTCGGATGTTCTAAAACCTCTGCTGTCCGTCAGATATTTTCTTTTAGGATACGATGACGAGAACGGAAATCGGACTGCCGAATAAATTCATCTAAATTCTGACAAACTGCTAGCTGCATAGCCGTAGGTGCAGACGTTTTTGAGACTGACTCAGAAGACCTGGCTGCGAGCCGATCTGGACACTGGGGAGGAGTCTGTTTGTCTCCAGAACCCAAATCATTACAGTTTGATTACTTTTGTTGAATATTTAAGTTCTGTGCTTGTAGCACTCCCACCGGGAACAAAATATACAGCTAAGCATGGAGCAGCAGCTGCCCTGTAAAGAATAGTCCATGCTTCTCCGTCAGCTCCACCAGGGAGACACTCACACACGGTCAGAGAGGTTTCGCTCTCGGACTTCTTCTCCTGAGGAACGTTGCAAAGCAATTCCCCGCCAGGACAACAGAGGGCGTAGCGCTGTTCTGGGGCATCCTGTCATGCATCCGGTCCAAGATTGTGCGTTTACTATTGTGTTTTTTGTATTTCAGAGATTTTTTAACACCAACAAATTTGTCTCTCAGTCTCCTCCACCACTTCATGAGCTCGCTCGCCACCTCTAAACCCACGCTTTCCGTCACTTCCGTCCACTTATAAAACACTAGCTGTGTATCTTTTTACTCCTCCAGTGATGGGTGAATCAAATCAATCAAATCAAATCAAACATACTTTATTAATCCCAGAGGGAAATTAGAGTTTCAGTACACACAATTCTGAGATCAGACATACATGGGCAAGACACATGACAAGGATTGGTGACTGTGGTCATTCACAACCCTGAGTCGCGCTACCTTAATAGAGATAAGAGGGTAACATGAGGATTGGTTCAGGCGGAGGGAAAAAAGGCACTTCACAGCTACCCTCCCACCAGGAGGGCAGCTTTGCTCTGCAAAAAAACACCTCAAACGGATATGCAACAGACTTCAGACATCACAACATAACATGAGACTCCAATAGGAAGGTGGGGGAGGGGGAGGGGGGATGGGGGATGGGATCCTGTTTACCCCAGCGAGAGCAGCCATCTACGGCGCTCAGCCACTGTAGCCACAGGTGGGAGGGAGATCTTGGGAGAAGCGCAGAGCACATTGACTCCTGCAGGTAAATGACCAGGCTGAAGTCCACAATCCAAAGGCGCGGGGGTGGGGTGTGGGGGGGTGGGTTCACAGCATCTGTCTGCATTCCTTCGTGGGGGTTTGTTGCTAGCCTCTCAAGGCTGCTCAGGCGTCAGATTCAGATAACAACAACTTGTTTGGGTCAGGCTGAGATAATTTTCCTCTCTGCCTTCAGTCTTTAAACTGATCATTTCCAGTCCTTCAGTGAAGCCAATTTAGGATTTTAAACTTGTCCACACCGTCCGGTGACTCTCTCCGAGATGACATCCATTTTGCGCACTAATACCGGTATCGCAGCTAGAACATTGTCCAGCTTACGATTCACCTCGAGTAACGTCCCAGTCTGAGACGTCTCCACACGGACGGTGCTTTCCGTGGGTGCGGGTCGCCCTCCAATCGCTCCTGTCTTCCCAAATTTCCAGAAAACCAGATATCCTCCCACTCCAATCAGGAGAAATCCAGTGATCATCAGACCGAATATCCACACATCTTCGACATTCTCAATGGACAGCTGGGAGAGGCATATGACCTTCCACTCCTTCCAGGAATCCAGCATATACCCCGCCGGGTGTGTCCCCCGTGGGCATGTGGAAGCCCCCTGCTCCCTTCTCATTGTTGAAAAAATCTTATCGATCGCGTTGAAAGACCAGTTTATCAGATCCATAGTTAAAAATAGGGTTTTTCTGAAGCGCTCTGTGGGCAAACAGGACAAAGAGCCTTGGGAAAAAAGATAAGGGAGCAAAAAGAGAAGCGTCTGTACTCCTCGAGTGCCAGGAAGAAAAATAAATGAATGAATAAAACGTTCATATTTTTAGAGTTTTTCCGCGAGGTATTCTTCAATCTGCTTCATGTCTGCCGCTAGATATCTTCGGCTCTCTTCATGTTTTTGAGGGCGCCATGGTGGCGCTGCTGACTAAAGCGGCGTCCTGACCAATCACAAGCTTGCGTTCTCCATCTCGTTCGACGGAAGTGGGCTTGACTCCGTCCATCCTCGCGAGCTCACTGAAGAGCCCTTGCAAGGACGGATAATGTCTGCGCACCGACGCAGAAGCATGAACCAGGCTTGAGACGTCTTTGAGTGACGTACGTGCGACAAAGTTCTTCACTGTTCAGAGGAGAGAATTCTGATTTTCAATAATGACTTATGACAAAATTCCTAAACAAAAAGAAAAACTGAACCCAGTTCTTCTTTATTTTAATAATAAAGTGTAGTTACATGGAATTTCTACTATTTTCATGCGGATTCTGGCCAACACCACGAGCATGTTTGTTTGGTCAAATCAGAGACATACCTCGGGCCGCTTGTTGTTATTTTGTGGGTCTAAAGCTGAAAAGTTTGGAAAGCACTACCACAGAAGGTAAAAACTGGGCTGGCGTTGGACGTATTTGTGCTCAAACAGCAATCAGCAACATTTCACATAGCACACATATGTTTTTATCCCAATGAACTCATACAGACTTAACAAAAATTACACTTATTTCCTTTTTTCAGGATCCACAACAGTGAGTCATTTCTAAACCGGACTAAAACAAACAAGTCAGTTTTGTATATTCTCCCACCGGCATTCGTTGGCAGTTTTTCAAACAACAAATTCCACGAGGTCATTTCCCAAAAATATGTTTGACTTTGTTTTGGATTTCATCTCAGATCTAAACACCAACGTTTGGAAGAAGTGGCTTGGATAAGACCAAAACAATAGATGCACAACAACAACAACAACAACAACAACAACAACAACACACACACTGGTCTGCCAGAGAGCTTCTTCAGCTGAAGCATTTCATCTCTGAGATAAAACAGAGCTGAGCGAGCTTGTAGGGTTGCCAATAAAGAGAGAGAGGCAAAGCAGAGAGAGCTGGGAGGGAGGGAGAATGGGAGATGATAAAACTCCACTGAGAGTCCTCCTGTAGACTTAGAGCAAAGGAGGAACTGAAACTGAACAGAAAGGGCAGGAAGAGTAAAGGACCAACAAGCTGAGGACGTGCTGGCGGAGTCAGAGAGGAGCACCTGAGCTGGGTCAGGTAGAGACCGCTGCTAAATCGCTTCAAGTCTAAATCAGGGGGACCTGCACTTCAAGACTGGGAAAGACTCAGATTGGGGAATGCAGTTTGAACCTTTCAGATGAGCGGACTGGAGACCTGACTCAGAGCGTTTCTCGGTTCAAACCCAGTTTTGGTGGAGCCTGCAGCCGTTCGAGCCACTGCTGGAGTCTGGATCATTAACCCAGCGTGAGAACCAGCAGGAGAAAACCAGCGAGAAAGAAAAGCTGTTTCAGCCCACCCTCAGCTTGATACGCTCCTCCTCTGTGCCTCCTCTTTTGCCCCCTACCCTCCCTTAAACACCTCACCCCCCCCCCACCAACAGAGCAGAAAGCGTGAAAAATCTCACTAATGGCTGTATTTGCTGTCAGATCTGCACCGGTCTGCCGTTCCCCTGGACCAATCTGCTCGACACATTTCATAGTTGAGTAAGCCTCCTCAGCTTTCTGGCTAGACTGAACAGTGCCCCTGCGCTGGCTGAGAGCTCATCAAGAGGGGAGGAACAGCAGCAGACTGACAGACTCCTGGACTAGGAGGCCCTTAGCTGCATTCTTCCAGTCTCCTTCTAGCTGCTTGTGTTTGTGAGCCTCGTGGGCATCTTCAGCTTCAGTCCAACCACGCAACCGGCCCACCCCCTGCAAGACGTGGCTTTAAATTATTTTTTGGTTTGTTTTTTGCACACACTTTGGTGCTGATCAAGAGAGCATGAAGATGTGGTGTGGGGTTCGGCCTTTGGCCACGATGGCTGTCTTGTTGTGGATTCAGTGCATCTTTCTGCGTGGGGTGGACGCCAAAAAGGAGAGAAAGAGGCCGAAGGAGGCCGCGCCACAACACACCGAGACGTATAACTCAACTCTGTCCAACAGCGAAGAGGTTGACGGGAGCATCAAGGTAGGGGGTTAACCTTCTTCAGCATGTCTAAGCTTCTCGAGAGGTTCGCATGCAGATGAGAGATATGTCCATGTTTGTCTGAAGGAAAGAGCCTCACAGGACAGGTGCGCCCTGCCAGGTCAAGCTTCAGACAAAAGGGTGTGAAACTTTGAATGGATGACTTCTGGAAGAATGTCAGGAATGTGGTCATCCAAATGCAGATCAGAACATCAATTAGTTCACGCAGCGGGTGTCTAACGCCGTCTCTCAGCGCCACAAATCAGGATGTGGTTATAATCGCAGTGTTTCCTGACACCTCATCGCTATAACAGGAAATGAAACTTCCACTATCAGTAAAAGGCAGAAGGAGACAGAGGCGCCATCGGAGAGGGCAATGACCACCACTGTAAACTTGATGTACCCCTCACTGGACCTCAACAGCACTTAGACTTTCTGTAGAAGAAAGAACCAAAAGGCGATTCCTAAACTACCGCCGTGCAGTACTTTTACAGTAACCTGTAGAAGATACAGTTCGTTTGGGCCGTGGTGCTTCTTTAGGGAAATCAGCAACCCCTCTTGGAACCGTCTGGAGGTGATCCTGGATAGAGAGTGGTTAAATACTAAACTGTCCTCATTAGGAAGACACTCCACTTTCCAACCAGTGTTACCGTGCCTCGTTTCCGTTTCTCAGGACCAACAGCTGCTCAGGACTCTGTTGTATTGGTGTTCTTGTTGTGAATGGTCCCTACAGGGCATTTGTTTTGCTTGCAGCCCACCCATTATGTTGGCATTCTCACGTAACTCTCTTTGCCCTATGTACCAGTCTTCACGTCTCGTTGGTAACCTCCACCAGCACCGCCCCTCCCTCCTACCTCAAAACCTCACAGTGAGGCCTCCTTTGTATCTTTAGGAACACTTTGTAGGTGGCTGTGGCCTGCTGGTGTTTATTTGACTTGGTTTGCCCTGCGAAAGCAGCAGCTATGAAGGATGACCTTGTGTCAGCCTCTGCTGCCTGCTGAAGACGAAAGGTCTCGCCCCTTTCTACCTTCAGAGATGCTGTGGTAGATTTTGTCTTGCGCCCGTTGTGTCTCGGACATCTGACGGGCCGCGAAAATCCAGGCTGCATGCCACGCGAGCCCCTCACAGAGCTCCGTAGGAAGGGTCCTGAAAGGGAACACCTCAGAGGATTAGCCCCCCCCTCTTTGACATTCTTTTATCTCATTTCTCACAATCAGACGGTAATGACATAATCACTCCAGAGACGGGGTGCTGTGCCAGAAAGTGTCTCGGCCAAACACTTGTCACCTCAGATGAAAGCCGAGGATCGGACCCAGCATCTCCAGAAGTGGACAGATTCAAGGCTGTGTCTGTCGGTGCTGAAACATTAGGGCTTGTGTTCAACGTCGTTTTTAAAAAGGAAGAAAAAAAAAGCATGCCACACACCATAAAACGTGGTTAACTTGATTTTTTTTGGGGTTAGTTTGTGAGTTTATTCTACCACACATCTGTTAGGTCTCAGAGAAAACAGCACGTCCATTGGAGCTGTCTTGGCAAGCAATTTGGGTTCTCCAACCACCAACATTTACTTTACACATTTCCATTTTTTTCCTTCTTGTGGCCAGTGGAAACAGTTCTCATGATGGCATTTCTATCTGACCAATCCCGTGTGTGGGCTGCTGGCGGCTCCAACCTTCATTCTAGATTTTCCATTTGTAAGTCGTCACAGCAGCTAGGTGTGCAGAAGGCTCGCGACACGAGGAATTTCCTTTGAGGAGACGATAAACGTTTCAAATGAGCGTGATCTTTTTGAGCCTGTGCGTTGAGCACTTCTCACCGCTCTCCGCCGGGGAGGCGAGTGGAATCTGTCAGGGCTGAGAGCGGGGAGGAGAGCGTGGAGACAAACCCCACAGCCACTGTGTTGAGTAAGAGCTGGGATTAGCCTGAAGCAAAGCTTTTTTTTTGTTTCCTCGCTCTCATCTCTAGTGATGATTAACGCAGCAGTGTGTGGGACTTAAGCTCGGCCCACACAGAAGACACAGGGTTGAGTCCCACAGGAAACAAGGCCACTGTGAGAGCGCACGCTGGCTCCTACCCCACACGTGAATCTCCCTGCATGACATGATGGTGAAATGCGCTTGAAACATGTCAGACAACAACTGAGGTTAAGCTTGTTCAACACTGAGATGACCTGCAACTGAGAAGCAAACCATAAACAATCCTGTGTTGTCACATTTGGAACTGGCGAGAAAAACGAACCACAAGGTTGTGTTTTCACTGTGGACGTCCCAATCACGCTTCTGTTGTCCCAGCCACAGATCCCCTTCATTTTAGATGGATTAGTGGCCAGTTTAAAATCTGTTTTTACTTTTTGCTACATAATCTTGCAGAAAACAGGCTGTAAGCTGTTCAGATCAATGTATTTGTTTCTTTAGCAGGTCAAGCTAGGGCTGCTCAATTAATCGAATTTTAATCACGATTACGATCTGAGTTTTGAACGATTATAAAAAACAAAACAAGCCGATTATTTGCTCCTCCCACTTGCGCTGCCCTGAGTTGCAAATGAAGCGCTCCTCCCACAATGTTGCTAACTTAGCGACTTTGACGCTATTTCCAGCAGCTTCTCAGACCCCCTTCTTGACTTTTTAAATCTTAAAAGTACCTAGCGAACACCTCAGAAACATCTCTGGTAACCCTTAGCTACTTTCTGGATAACTGTCGTCAACATTTCCTGCAGGTTAGCTAAACACTCCGCCTGCGCTCCGGACCATTCTTCAGGACATTAGGAAAGGGAATGATGCAGTAATGTGTCGGTCGCTAAAGAAACGGCTCTCGGAGCCGGCTCCCTGTTGGAGTAACCAGAGTGAGTGACACACACACCGCACCTGCGGACTCCTGAGCCACTAAAAACGGCTAAATGTGCGCGTGCGGCGTGCTAAACACACGTGCAGCTTGCCCCTGATTGCTGTGAGACCGGGTTGGGGGTTGGGGGGTGCAGCTGTGGTTGGGACAATTATTACATTAACTGATGGACTTGTAAATAAATAGTTTATAAATAAGGTAGAAATAAGTTCCTCACGCTAATAACTAATAACTAATCTCTCTGAGGACACGGTGCTAGTGCATGCTCCTACAGCACCTTGACACGACTAAATAAATGTTACGCAACATTTTGTGAACATCAATTTATTTGCATTAATTTGTTATAAATGCCACTGTATAATTCTTGCTGTCAGTATTTGCAAGATATTGGTATTTGGGTCTGTACTGGTTAGACTTACATGAGTTAAACCAAGGTCTACAGCCCTTGGGTCATAAACTATGAGCTATAAGTATATTGGTCTTTTTATACTGGGAATCAGGAGTTATTTTAGTGATCATCTTGTTTATTTCTTTTTGTCCTGATTGTGCCCTGAGCAATTTTATGACTGAATAAAAACAAATAAAATCAACATAAATTGATAAATCGTTCTAAATAATCGAGATCTCAGTTTCAGTCACAATAATCGTGATTATTATTTTTGCCATAATCGAGCAGCCCTAGGTCAAGGTGTGAGGAGACACTTTCCTCACACAGATTACAGGTTTTAATAGGTTTATTCTGCAAAATGTTATCTTGAGTCTGTTTTGTGAACACAGTTTTAAACAACACTGAATCATTAATGCTACTTATTGATCTCTGATCATTATTTGTTAGACACTAGCTGGCTATGACAAAAGAATCTTTAATAATGATATTAATGAGGCCAGATGACGACGCTGAAGGCTACTCTGTGCAGTGGTCTGACCTGGATTGTCGACGTTATTAGATAAACATCAACTGCAGGGTTATTTCTGCTAATTTAACTTCATATTGAAGTTGAAGCATAGAATTACGTCTGAAACCAAGCAGTGAAAGTCAAACAGCCTCAGAGATATTAAATATTGCTTTCATAATATTTTCATTGTGTATGAAGTGCGCTGCACAGAAAAAGCTGCCTTGCCTCGGTTGCGTGACTCTTTAGGGCCACCTGCTGCTGATGAACGTCGTTTTTTGACCGGCCCATGAAGGATTAGCTGTGGTAGTTTTGATACAGCTGACGTCAAACCACCAGGGTGAAGTGCCTTGCCCAAGGACAGAACAACTGGTTAAAAAGTACAAAGAGATTCGGTGTGAAAACAAGATAAAAGGTTCTAATATTTCTCATTTCTCTTTTTTACATTCTCACAAAGACGACACTTTGAAAGATTTGCTAGGTTTTGTAGTACTGTCAAGCTGATGGACTTGGGTTAGGGTTAGGGCATCTTGTTCTCCAATACTTAGTTAGCTACGCTGTTGTTGTCAGAAGCAACACAAGTGGAGAAAATGTTTGATCGGATCCAAACACAACGATTATATAGGTTTTCCCCTGCAGGAGTAAATATTATACTATCACGTAATCCAAGAAATTATCTCATCCTGGACAGGTCTCCAGTCTACGACAGGGACACACAGAGACGAAAAACCAGCCGCACACTCTCTCACACTAAGGGACGCTTTAGGATGCTTTTGGTCTGTGTGAGGAAACCAGGGCACCCTGAGAAAACCCATACAGCTGGGATTAGAACCTGCAACCTTCTAGCTGTGAGATAACCGTGCAAAACAACTGTGCCACCATGCCCTGCTCGAATGATCCAATTAGAATTAAGAAAATGTGTAGTTTTTGCCTTTAATCTCTGCAAACACCCGTCGAAATGTTGTTGAAATTATGTCCAGTTGTTGAAAAGTATTAGCGGCTTTGTAACGTATAACCATAAAAATCAGGTTTAAATTACATGGGCACAGGTCTTTGGGTATGCCTTATCAGATGTCATGTTTTCCTCTGCGTGAGGTGGCTTGGGGTCTTGTGACTGCCGATGACATCATTAAGGAAGTTACGTTACCACAGTCGTAAAAGTTACGTTAGCGTGTTGACGCAGAAGATTTTGATTGGTCCAGACGAATTTGCACTTGTAGTCCTCAGAGTCCTTGCGGTTGTAGTCCTGTAGTAGAAAAAATAAACGTT